GGCACTCAGTCCATGTTTTCAATGTGACACTAAAATGGTTACAGCTTAGGTAAAACATGTCATCTGATGTAGAGAAATCTTCAGTACATTTCAACATTTGTGCCTCAGTTTGTATTATTATTACATTTGAGTCACAGAGCTAAAGCTTCAGTTTTTCTAAACAAATACCTGCTGATCTTTGGAAACCCAAAAGATCCTTTAATGCCACTAACTGAAAGGCATTTCAAATCCTCACTCTTCAAACCATTTGGATTTAAAAAAAAAAAAAAATTCATTCTGTTGCACAATAAAAACGACTTTTTAACATTTAACTTTTAAGACAGCATGGATGAGAAGTCTTTAAAGTACTCAGAAAAAGTGGAAATTTAAACTGCTACAGTCCCACGACAACTGCTTTTTCACCAGTTTTCCAAGTTAAGACTAAGTTGTGTGGACCAAGAAGGGAGCTTACCAGACCTCTGTAGCCCACTCCTCCATACATATAGTTGAGGCTACATTAGCTGCTGCTAGCATAACACACCAGAATCTCCCACCCAAATGGTGTAGTTACAGTGTGGGTATTGTAGGTGACTTTATTCTGGACTTGCATGTCAGGATGGTTGTCTGCGGCAGACTCCTTTGTCCTGCTCCTGTTAACAGCATGTTTCTTTAAAAGTGCCTTAGACACTAAATAAGAACATAATGGGCAAACTATTTCATCACAAATGTGAAACAAAACACTAAATCAGATGAAACCAGTACACCAAGAACCTTTTCTCCCTCCCTTCCTTTTGTATTTTTGCTGCGCTTCATATCATATTCTCTGTGTACCTCTTCATAATAACCTGTTGGGTCAAAATCAGTATTCCAGTACGATAACCACATGAGATGCGGAGCCCTCGGCAGCTGCATTTCCCAAAATTATGTTTGTACTAAGATCTCCCCCTGCCTGTGACCACTCACGGCTGAAGGCTCAGTACTGAAGTTATTTTAGGAAACGCGCTGCACGGGATTTCTTTTGGTTGGAAGCTTTATCATCCACAAGTAGTTAACTCATTTTTTGTTTTTATCATCCAGCTGGCTGTTGGCAACCAGGCATTCAGCTGCAAATACTCCCATCATATTATTTCTTGTATACCTGTATTTCTAGACGGTAACTTTTCTGTTTGTTTTTGTAAAAGGAAAATAAAGCATATTCATTGTAGCTGTGATGCTGTTTTGGTCCGTTTTGGTGGGGCTGAACTGCAAGACGGGAATACCATCTCAATAGGACCCTGAATAGAGCATCACTAATCAGTCAGTCGGGGCTGAAATCATTCGTTAAGTGAAGGCCTCAATCTGATTTCAATAAACAAATCCATAGGAACTGGCGTTTGCCTCCATCTGTTCAGCTACAGCCAGCATCTCTACCACTGTGGCACACAAGCTTTCATTTTAAGGGTGCTGCCATCTTGAATTGGGTTTAAAAAAGGCAGAGCAGAGTCTGCTGGTCACAGTTAGCTTGTAACATTGTGCAAGACTATTCATTACTAATTTCCTCAAGCGTTATAATCATGATTTTAGCAAACAATGCAACATTTAGATAAATTACTTAGTTAGTCAACTCATAGATCAACATATAAAAGCATTTTCATGATTAAGCATATTTCAAGCAAAAATTTAGATCTTGCTTTTCTTTATTTTCTGTCATTGTAAATTGAATCTCTTTGGACATTTACAAGACATATGAAGATGTCATCTTTGAGAAACTGATGCACAGTCTCACCATTTTATGACATCATTTAAAGATTAATTAGTAATTGATTATTGATTAATAGTCAGTTGCAGCCCTATTTTCCTGTTAGTCACATTTAGGGCTGCTTGATTATGGCAAAAATCATAAATCACAATTATTTAACTCGATTACTCTGTGTGGTGAACTGAGTAAAATGCTGCAGTCTAAAGCTAATAACAGTTTTGACCCCAGCATGCTGAGAGTGAAACGGGACGTGAATAATAATCATTTTACCTCAATTATTTTGTTTCTAAGTCAATTAAATTAATTGTACAGCCCTAGTCACACATTCAAGCTTTTCTAACTCCAAAGGACTGTAAGTGATGCAAGTTACACCAGCTGACTCTTGATCTTGACTCACTCTCAAAACTTCTATTACAATAAGCCCTGCTGCAGTGTGTGCGCCGCTACTAAAATTTCCCACGATCATTAAACTATACCTCACTAATGTTTTCACTCGCTCACTGTTGGCACTAAATGTATGCGTCGTTTACAGCGTGTTAGCTTCTCAAGACCAAGAAAAGTCTGTTCGTTGTTTCCCCAACTGCTGGAAAAGTGAAGCCGGTTACCGCTAGCAAACATCTCCCCCTCCTCTCAGACTGCGCAGCTGAGCAGGAAAGCTTATGCATGCAGTAGGCCTGCGTATTTTGGCTCAATGTAACTTAACATTAGCTCAATTTATAGGAAGTTGCTGCTGCATTTCATTACTGCATACTTTGTCTAGTGCTGACAACATTACAAGCTTAGACTAAACTGGTTTAGCCTGCAGCTCTGTCCTGTAAACGTCCTGTACATCCTAATAATTAGCCTAGTTAACTAAGGGGCTTATTTTCAGACTGGTTGTTAAGAAAGAAAGGACGGTGGCGGCAGTGGAAGAGCTGAGGTTAGTAGAGCAAGTTAGAGATGCAAACTAGTTCCTTTTAAGTTAACAAGGAGACGTTTCTTTTGGATTTTGTGTAAATGAAATGCATGGTAATTAAGGGAGGTAGTTGTCACGTTGCCAATTTTTCATATATTTTTACAGATAAATGTCAAAAGCTGATGATTATTATGGAGGTCATATTACAGGGTTTCCCTGCTGCTATAAGGCTTAGGAGGTGAGGCCCAAAAGGCTTGCGTGCTGTGGCATGAAGGTAAAATCACTGTGGAGAGAGGATGGAAATTAAAACTAAATAGCTTTTCCAAAGTCAAATGGTTATAGGTTATAGGCTAGTCCCTCCCCAGGCAAATTCTTTAGCAAGTGTCCTTATGCTTTCTGGTTGTTTATTATCTGCTCCAGCTTTTCCAACCATCTGTTCACAGATATGGTTAAAATAATGGTCCCAAATGATGTGAAATTGAATGTGTCATTGGTAAAAGTAAAATCCCCCCCCCCATCACCACCAAATATGTGCATCTAAGACTATGGGAAAACACTCAAATTTTAAGCTATTCTGATGTGAATCAGAATATCTCATGACACAGCAGCACTGCTGTTGAGACATGTTGTATTGGGGTTACAGCAGGCGCACTATGCACAAACACAAAAAAATTTTGCTTCACCTCCGCTGCTACAACTCCATTTTAGGGGAAACACTACCTGCTGTTTGTTTTGAGTTGATCCCACACACTAGAGCACCAAACGTGTATTAATCCACTGCTGAAAATAGTCCTAAAATGCCCCATTTACTCCAGCCTGAGTAACGTCAGCTAAAAACTACAGCGGCCAGCTGTTTTAAGAAACATAAAAAGAAAAGAAAAATGTATAATGACTTCTCCTTTTTGGCCCTACCTGGTGGATGACGATACCTGATGAGAACTGTGGCCCCAGCCTGCTGCTGTTTCCACAACAGGCCAAGCAGACAAAGTGCATCTCCTGGTCAATGTTGAAGGTAATCAGAGTAGATGGTAACAAACAAAACAGTGAACCCAAAATAACTCCAGGAGAGAACAAAGCCTCCTTCCACCTCTCATGTCCTCTGATCCACAGGTGTTTTCAGGTCACCTGATCCCTCCCTTCATCCAGTCCAGCCAATGAATGAAGAGAGTGTGAAGTAAGTGTGAGCAGGGGCCCATGGGCTTGCCGCTGTTAAAGGAGAATTACATGTTGCTCAACGTTTGAGCACCTAAAGATGGAGGAAGAATAAAAGATTGTCTGAAGAAAAACAGAGAAGAGTTGTCATGAAAATCCACCTGTTGTTTAATTTCATAATTGACACACAAAAATAACCTACAAAAGACCAAATTAAGTAACCAGTTAACCACAAAATGTCATTTTTATCCTCCCCCACCCCCAAAGAAAGTACAATTTATAAGATGTCACCCACTGCTCCAATCACATGACTTCACAATGACATCCTGAACAACCACACGTCGACACTCATGGGTTTACATTTTGGGGGAGGGGAAATGTCAGAATAATCTCTCACACACACACACACACACACACACACACACACACACTGACCAGCAGCACCCCATCCTATATAATTGAGCTACAGAACAATCTTTGGCGCCGTTCTCGGTGCAGCCGGTCAGTCAGACACACATGGAGGAGGGCGGGGAACTAGTCCAGGGAGGACAACCAGAGATTCACTCAGGAAGAACGGTTTTGTTAACGGAGGTATTCGGCAGAGGGAAGGTTTCTCTAAAGGTGTGTTCACACAGACGGCCAAGGGAATTTCAGCTTGGCCTGAAGCTGACCATTCGTGTGTATTCACCCTCAAACAGCCAATGTACTGACTGTACAGGCGTTAGCTGTCAGACAGCTAGCAACGGTTTGTGTTCAACGCGCCGACCATCGTCTGAGTGTTTATGTTCAGCTCAGCCTCTGAACTCAACAGAAACTCTGTTTTTCCATTTCCCACTAGTCCCATTTTCTGTCTCATCTCTGTTCGTTTTTAAGTAGATTCGTGAAGCTGGTGTCAGCCATTGTTTTGAGTTTGGAGTGTTTACATGTTATTCCAAGATGGTTAGCCACACCGGATAAACTGCCTCAACCAGCTTCTTTTGTTGTGTATTTGTAGCAGTTCATTACAAAGTGAAGCCACATACAAACGGAATATAGCTCCTTTTAAATGAGCTGAATTGGAGTGAATTAGTGTTAATATATTAATATATTATATTTTAATGGAGCTGCCAGCAGGGATGCATTTGTAGCATTTTGCTAACAGTTCATCAGCAGGAGATAAAGATCTCTCCGACTTCAATGGTTTCCCCCACTCGTAATTACGGTTTAAACGATACGACACAAGCTCGACTTTTTCGCTCAGGTTGAAAAATGTTGATGCAGACCCATCCTCGCGCCAATCCGCGGCGCCCGAGGTGGACTTGTGTCTAATCGCGTGCGTCCATTGGATTTGTATGCCACCGCTTTATTTCTAAAATTAGCTTTACGTTCTGTCTGAACACACACCGGAAAAAAAGGAGTCTCAAGTGACATAATAACATCTACAAACATTCACAACTCCAGAAATGCACTGACAAGTTGAGTAGAGGTTGAAAGCCAAGCGACGACTTGCACTTTTGCATTGAGCGTTTTACAGTCCTGCATAGATCTTTTTCATACTTTTTCAATAGAAACTAAGGCGTTGTGTTATATTAAGTTGGTTCGAGTCAATACGCAGAGAAAGTAAATCAGAAAACTGAATTCACACACACACACACAAAAAAAAAAAAAAAAACACAATTCAAGTAGGCTACAATCTCGATGTTTCTACCCTCTCTCACAGGCGGCTCACTCTCCAGGAGGAGGAGCCCAAAACTATTTCAATTCAAGTCTTTTTTCCAGAAAAGGTCCAGTGTGATTAAACAGCACCAAAAACACACTGAGCAAGAGAGGGGCATCAAACTTACACTCGCTCATTATTGTGAAAAGGGGGATACACGTCCTTATCCATTCATACTGAATAATCTGGAAAGAAATTAACAGTATATTGTGTTTTTTTTATGTACATACACACATTCAAAATCAACCTCACCGTTTCTCTCTCTCTCTCTCTCTCTCTCTCTCTCTCTCACACACACACACACACACACACACAAACTAACATGTTTTTGTCCCTGTGTAAATT